CACAAACAGACATCTCATTACGCTTGCCTATGACACAGCCCTGGTCAGCCTGTTAAGGGACACAGAAAACCATCATGGACCGATTGTAAATGAGGTTACTAAACGGTGGGTTGAGTGCTCTGTGCAGTTAAATGTTTTAAAAACAACAGAGCTGTTCAAGGATTTTAGGAAAAAAACGCAACATCCCTCCAACCTAGTGTAATTAATGGTCAAACTGTAGGAACTGTCAATGATTACAAGTACTTGGACTGGTCATAGCCAAAACTCTGAGCTGGGACAAATTCGGAGACATCATTTATAAAAACAACAGAGACTCTTTTTTTCAGCTAGTTCAAGGTAGAGAGAACCATCCTAAGGCCTTTCTCCAAGTCTTTTACTGAAAGTGTTTAACATACTGTCTCACTTTGCTGGGTTGGTAAGATAAGTACCATTGATAGTAATAGGCTGAGTAAATTAGTCAAAATAAACAGCAAATTGATTGGGGGCAAACAAATCACCTTAAATATCGACTATAAGCAGAGGGAGTCAAGGTTAGCAAGGTGTGTGATGGATTGTGTCTCTCACTCCCTCTGCTGCCAGTTCACACTCCTCCCATCTTGGAGACGCCTCTGTGCCTATTGGTGTCGTACTAATAGACACAGGAAATCTTTCATCCCCACTGCGAGATCTCTTTCAAACAATGTGTCATAACTAGCTTCTCACTTATCTTGCTGTAACACTGTAGCACTATCGCCAACGGCTACTCAGCTAAGGTGCAATCTTTTCTTTCTCTAGAAGCCCGGAAAACTGTATTATTTTTTTTCTCTTGAGCCGTAACGCTTGCATTACCTTGGGAGCAACAAGCTCTTCCCTAAGACCTCGTTACCTGTGTTGCATGAGTGACGGAACTTGGCTCTGAGCGACCACACACCGGCTCTCTACCTCCACAACATATCGAACCTCTAACCAGGGAAAAGGCAGGCCTAAAGACCCACCATGTTACATTCGGCAAACTCTGCCAGCCTGCGGAAAACACCCAGCTCC